TAAAAGACAATATTTTACAGCATTAGCACCTGGACTATTAACAAAAGCAAAACCGCGCCGTTTAACCTCAGACAGGTAATTTGTGTATGAAGACAGAAAACTGTCACTAACGCAAAGGATACATTTTCGCACTTCTCCACTCCCTGCAAAACAGAGTTTATTTTGAAAAAAGTTTGGGGTTTTTTACCCTGAAAATGACAACAAACAATAATAACCACTGAATCAAATAATGGAATTATTTATAAGTAAAAATTTTGTGAAAACATTTATTGTCTGTAGAAACAAAATTTACATTTATTTTATATAAACTATGTTAAACATACATATAAACATACCTACATCTTACTATATATACTTATGAATGAGGCTTTTAGATATGAGATAACATTGTCAAAAGCACCGTTGTGGACTCAAAGACTACAGACTTAAACTGCATTTGCATTTAACTCCAGCTTCAGTAGTTCAAAATTGTCATTTCTTATCCACACTTAGAAATAATTACATTAAAGGCTCCTAACGGTGTGTTTGTATGTGTACATATATGTGCACAAACACACATTAGGTAGTCCTTGTGAAAGTACAGTATAAATAACGCCAACAATCTATTCCTTAGAAGTGGACATTAGTTCCCCTCATTCAACTGGGAGCAAAAAATTCCTGCTATTCTTAAAACAATGAGAGTTTTTTTATTCCATGAAGAACATACTCAAACTACAACAACTGTTTCCACCCTGTCTCTTCCCCTCAATAATAAAGACATAAGAGAAGCCAGTCACAAAATGAAAGCCATCTACTACATTATTTACAGAAAATGAAGTACTAAGACAACATGAGATTTAAACTTCTTAGACAAAATTCAGGGCAATGAAGAGTGAGCAGAAGAAAACTGTATGAAAGTGGCAGGCAGCACAGAGCTACTACACCACGTGGCTAAATACCTACTCAAAATCCCTCCAACAACAAAAACCATCAGGCATGGAAGGAAGGGGCAGGTCTTATGACAATAGTTTTCTCTGATCTTGACACTGAAAATTTATGCTCACAAAACTTGAAACAGAACAAATGCTCATGACTATCCTTAAGGTTTATTAAGGAGTCAAGTATTACAAGGAGGCTTTCAGAGATCTTGAAATGGCTTTTATTACTTCTTTCCTTCATAAGGAGGCTGAAGAACTTCCTTATTTTCAAATCCTGCAGCAATGGAATGAAATCTGTCAAGGGTCGGAGTTTTGAGCAGAAACATCCTTTTTTTTCCCCTCCAGATTCATTAGGATGCAAGTCTGAAGTCTTTCTTTTAAGAGGGCTCTCCCATGAAGAACATTGTAGACTGATGTTCAGATGCTTAAAGAAAGGCAAGAGGCATGTTTCTAACACAGCATGGGAAAAGCTTTCCTTTCCAAAAGCAAGGAAATTAAAGAACATTCTCCATTCACAGCCTAAGGTAAATACTGAGAAATCAGTCTCTCTTTGTTAGGACTTTTAATCATCTTCTCCAAGCAATTATAACTATCCTTTTCCAAGACATAGCAAAAAATGACCTTCCGATGCATAACAAGCAAGTTTTGAGAACTCTGCCTTTTTTAATGCCACAACAGTGTAATCTTGGGATTTTTTTCTGTTTTTAAAGCAACCAAGTTCATTTAAAGAAAACTCAGCATTTCACCCTGAGGCCCGAGGGAAGAAGGCAGCAGGTAAACCGTTACACAACAGGCGATTGATCAGCTGAATTTACTCCCAACCTCAGCTATCAGTTACCTGAGTTGAGACCATTATGTCCAGGTCTCAAGACCATCTAAATCCATCAGGTAAAATGATTTTAAACATGTAAGTAATTATTAGAGTTAAGGCAGGCTTGTAGAAGCCTTGCAATGTGTTGTTTCTTACTAGACCCAGAATTTTGTGAACCTTGTGAACTCAGTCATCACAAAGTTTAAAATAAGGTTTCTAACCAAGTTATGCAGAGATTAAATGGATCAGCAACGTAATTGCTAACACCATAGCAACTTAGTATTTCAGACACTTAATAGGAAGACTCTAGTCATATTAAACCCATTGCATTTTGGATAGCAATTAAAAAAAACAATTTCACATGTGAAAACTGAGAATGACATGAGCATTTAACAGCCATTTCAAGCTAAACAAAAGAAATGCAATTCACATTTGTATTTTCTAAGTATAAAACAGAAAGCTAGAAAGGTCTTAAGACGATCACATTTTCAACTTGCCCTTCCAATGCAAATGCAGTGACTTTACTAATAAAAGAGTCACTGTTTTCCTACTGAGGCTTACACATTTGAAGTAAACAGATATTTTAACAAGAACTGTTATCAGTCCACGCTCCCATTAGAAAGAATGCAATGATCAGGATTTCACTTAAGTCTTTGTACAGGTGTTTTCTACAATGCAGTCACAATACAGAAAGGCACCAAGTTATTCAAGTAAATTGACCTTTCTTCTACTTAACACTTTCTCCTGTTTCTTCATAACCCAATCAGTAACTTCAATACATTGCTCTCAACCAAACATTATGTTCCAGTTCAACAGAATTTTCTGTGCTATAAGAATAAATAATCTGATTTGGGTATAAGTATGTAGATACAGGCCCCTGCAATTCACAAAGATAAATCTACATAGCAACGTCTCACACCAGCTATAGAGTAGATGCCTCTAGCATCTAAGCCATGAATTTTTATAAAATTCATTCATTTCTGTATGCATTTTATAAAATTTAGGAAGTTTTATCATGACAGAATCTCAAATTACTGAAGTTATCAGTCAAGAATGTGATTTGAGCAAATGGTATCACCTTACATAAAAGCTGAACCAACTGAAACAGTGACTAGATTTCACATTACATTCATCTTGAGATGGGTAAGGGTAGGTGAAGGGTGGGGGGAAAATCAAAGTCAGCAAACATGTCAAAAAAACCCCAAATTTCTTTGTAATATGTTGGTCACAGTTGTAGAAATAAAGCAGAAAGCTAAACTGTTAAAGTACAAAACAAATTAGGAGTTGCCTACTCATGCATAGATAAAATAAGAAAGCACAAAATCAGAGGAGTCAGTCACATGTTTAGAACTGGTTAAAGCAGCATTAACTGACTGAAGTCTGACTACTTCAGCATTACTTCCAAGCAGTGTTAGCAAAACTGCCATGTCAGAAGTTTCTTCACGTATCCACTTTTCCCATTTGCTCAACAATGAGTTCACTTCCAGGCTTTAGTAAGAACACTGCAAGAAGCTTACAGACACAGTAGTATCCTGTTGAATAAGACAATACAGCTTCAGTAGTTTGTCCTTTATCATATATGGTTTCACTTCTTATGTCTTTCACAGTGCACATTCAGAAGTTGTGTGAAAGGCTTGTTGGCTTGAGGGTAAGCCTGCCTTCATTTGCAGGGCGCGTGCAGTGCTCCCCTGCCAGCAGAGACATCACAACTGCAGCTACTCCACATTTGCTTTGGGATTACTCACTTAACCTGTTGCTTCAATACCTTATTTTCATCTCCCAGTAACTCTACACAGGACAATTCTGACAGATTCATCACGGACAGCTAAAGTTAAAAACCTCTTTCTTATCTGCAGAAAGTTGCCTGCCTCTATCTGGCTGCGGAATTTCTTTCCTTTCACTTCCCATTTTGTGTATGCATGTGAGGTTACTGAAAAACTAGTTAAATCATTAATGATTGTTATTTAAACTGAAGACCTGTGTTTTAGAAACAAACCATCTGTTACTGCTGAATGACCATAACATCAATGAATGTGGCACACTTCCTGCCTTATTCCCTATGAAATGCTAAGCAGTGCACCCCATGAACTGAAGATCTTCTGTGACGCTATTTTAGCTGTTCTGAGCCATAACCACATTTTCAAACACTCTCTCTACTGAAGGCATTGTGAAAAAAAAGTTATAAAAAAAGCATGCAGA